TGATTGTGAGTCCCGTTATTTAAGATGGACGTCCCACGCACAGCTGAACGCAACATTCCAAAATGGCTGCGATCTCCTGGTGAACGGTCTCTTTGAGTTTTATTACCTGCGAGACTTACTTAAAGAAAGGATCTGCATTAACATGCCTCGCACCGTCGACGACCTCAAAGAAAATATTCGCTAGGAGACCGATTCAATTTCAGGGGCAACTTGCAAAGCACATGACAGTTTGGAATGTGGCATTCAGTCGTGCATAGACGCCAGGGGAGACAATTTTCAGCACCTTTGTGATGGGATACAGTTTCACAAGGACTGGGGGATGTACCTAAAATATGTGATCACCGTTGATGTAAAATAATGGTTTTATTGTTGAAAAACTGGAGCTTATAGCGAGAGGAAAACTTGTCTGCCAACACACTGACAGGCAACGGGCTGGATAACGGGAAGCGTTCGTTACCCGGGGTGGGCTGATCTTTTTCACTACCGTTTCGAGGTCCCACTCCAGCCTTCTATTCTAATTGTCGGGGTCGGGGACGCTTTTCTCGAGGGGAAAGTGACCTGAGCAGAAAGCTGACCACATACTTCCTTCGAGCGCTGGGGTTGAGAATATGCAGAGCACGTCTTCTAGATGTGGTGCTTGACGAAGCGCCAAGGACTACTTTCTAGATATAGAGTTGTTCCAGGAGTACGACACAACGCAACTCAAGGCGTGCTGTAAACTACCGGAAAGCATAATCGCACACACATCTAACGTATATCTGGTACACTGGAAACCGCTGATTAAAAACAAAGTGTCGGTTTGAAACCACATGCCTATTTCCATATGGCACATGTGTGTAACTGCCTTTCAGCGGAAGCAAAGAAAGACAATGTGGTAGAGCCGTTCCTATGCAGGGAATAACGGAGAAGAGAGGACAAAGCCACCTTAAGAATCGTTATCGCATTCGCAATGTTGCCACGTACTGGCAGGATTTTACGAGCACTTTGTAAACAATTCATGACTCAACACTGGCAGGTGTCGTTTGGCAATAACGCCTCAATTTTGTGATTCTAACATGAGCTGTGATTGGTGGAGCCAGGACCAGGTGCTCTAACATTTTATTCCCCTTCTGACCCTCC